CTTCTTACGCGCGGTGCGACGAGGGGCTCTGGCCAAAACCGGATACCATAAAAACATGGTAAAAGAATATATCCGGTATTACAACAATAACCTTCGTTGTAGCCAATCAGATGCCAGTTTGATATGGATTTGGCCAGAGCCCTTCGTCGCACCGCGCGTAAGAAGGGCTCTGGGTACGAGAATGTTGGGAGGGTTGCATCCCCACCCCCCATCCCCCCGCCCGTTGCTGCGGCCCTGAGAAGTAATAAACCGACGATTTGTTAAATGTTATCCATGTAAATGCCATGATTTCGTAAATCAGTTTATACTAACAATACAATTATGTTATATTTTCTCTATTTAAGGTTACAGAACACCTTTGAGTGTTAATTTTGCCTAAATTTTTTTATTGGTTTCAATGAAAGCATTAGACCAGTTCTACTATCTGACCAAGTTTGAACGAAAAATGTTGAAAACTCGCAGAGTTATTTAATAAAATACATTACGCTGCAATAAGAAAAACATTGAAAATGTAATATTCAAATTCAATTTTCTCACGAAAAATTTTACGGTAATTACTGATTTTCAAACGAGTTGTGCTCCTGCGGAGTTTAACCAATTTTTCTCAAATTTTCACAGGACATAGCTAAATACGTCAGTTTCAAAATTGTGTTCGGCTTTTTTTTAATTTTGGATATTTTAAAAATAAAGAGCAATTCATTCAAACAATTCAGAAATATATTGCAGTCGTCAAAGAAATCGCCATATCAGCGGAACGACGAAATAAACAAAAATTTCCGAACACAATTTTTTAGAACAACTATTTTACTGTATAAAAATGATATTTTCATAAATATAACTTAAAACCAGCAGGAGCACAACTCAAAAGCGTAAAGGCACCGCGATTTAAGATTTTCCTGAATAACTCTTACATTATTTTATTGTTTGTTAATTTTACAACTTTACCATATTTTGCATGCACTGGAGAACATTTGGTGAAAATTTGATGAAAATCGGACTGATTTTGAGCGTGCAGTAGCGATTTTCCGCAAAACGCAAAAAGGGTGTCCTGTAACCTTAACAACTAAAATTTTGTTATACTATTATTGCTCTAATTTTCCGAATGGCCAACCTGATTTTCCGAATATGTTAATTCTAAAAAAGTTGGGGGGTTAACCACCCCCCCCATACCCCCTCGCTACGGCCCTGGTAGGGAGCCTCCTTAATTAAGCTAGTCTGCATCCCACACTTTCAAGTGATTGTTACCCTTGGCGTGGCGGTAAAGTGTGTCCTTGTAAAAATCTTTATTTTAATGCCTGGCACCTTCCTTCACCCAACGTAAACAAGAACTTCGAGTGCATTATTTGCATTGTACATGGTCACGATTAGTTCATTTTAGTAATTGTACCAGCCGTCTTTGTTTTCACCATCGGTACTCAGTGACGCTCTCTTATCCACAGACGCTTACCGTGGATTGGAAGCACCTTCCTTCACCTACCTCCTCCGCAGGCCTTTAAAAAAAATAAAATTGGTGGGAAACGAACGGAAAGGCCTGCGGACTAATTTTCCAAAATGGCGGGAGCCACAAACCAAATTATATTTAATATATCATTTTACCAGAACAATATAGACCGCTTTTCGTATCTGCAATATACATAGAAACAGTGAACACTGAACAAACAAGCATATATAATGATTTATAAAGAGAAGCAGTAAATATCAGTTTATAATTTGCATATTACAAACACGCAGCGCTTTTATGTAACACGTCGTATGTCAGGCATGCGGCCGTTTATCCACGAAATTTATTCCATAAATATTTGTCTTTTTATACATCCCATTTGGCCAAATGATAGATTCACAACGTCTATTATCATTGTCGCTTGTGAAAAATGGGAAATTGAGGACAGATGGTAAAAGTGGTGATGCAATATTTCCCGTGTGGTCGTAAAGGTTGATGAATCACCTGTCGCGCGCTTGTCGACTCCGGGGCTGGCAGTTCATACGCGTCGGCGAAGCTCATCGATCTCCTGAAAAAGAAACCAAGTGCGACGAAGATCCAGCGTATCGACATGCTGATGAGCTCACGAGAATTGAGTCATATGACGTGGTGATCGGGTCCGTGGATGACAGTTACGAAATGGAAGTACGTGTGACAAAAGTCAACAAGGGTGAACTGTTGAGGATTGATAACCCAAGATATGAACAGTTGATACGAAAGCATCAGCACCTGAAACAAGTCGAGATCGCAGACCATGATTCGAAACAGCAACTCCCGATTCACATGATGTTGGGAAGTGGAGAATACGCTCGAATTAAAACCGGAACTGTACCACTTGTCGGTGAGGACGGTGACCCAGTAGCTGAATTGACCAAACTTGGGTGGTTCGTGATGAGCCCGGGGGCTGATTTTGACAAAACCACTGTTCTGATGACACAAACCTCTCAGAGTGACTACGAGAACGCCTGTCGTCTGGACGTTCTAGGGATTGCAGACAGCGGAGAAATTGATCAAGAGATGGTCTATCAAGATTTCAAAGAGGAACAAGCAGAAGCCGCACAGAAACAACAGCTAAAGACGGACGATAAGAAACCCGCAAAAGAGTTTACACCTGATAAATCTCAAGATAACTCGCAACCCGAGAACCTTCCAAAGCAACAAAATTCTGACAAGGAACCTCAACCCGCATCAACGGCTCCACCTGCGCAAGATACTCAACCCAACTACCAGGCGAACAATCGGGCACCTGGGCTGACCTCTACTGCTCAGCAAAAGCAAATAACGGTGAAAATAAACCCATAAAGGATTCAAACCCTGAAACATCTGAGCAAAATTCTCAAAATCCTCAACAACTAAATCCCACCAACGGTCAACAACAAAACTTCGCTGCTGAGAACTTAGATACAAAAGACAAGCAAAAACCCATCGAAGAAAGTGCCCTGCTAAAACCAAACTTGAAGGGCGGAAAACATCAAGTGGAAGACCAACCCAAACTCGCAGCTAATTCTAAGCCCGCTTCTGGCGTGAAGTCTATGGGGAAAAAACCCGGTTGGCGTGCCCGCGTATAGCTACAAAGATTTGGTTAAGCAAGAGTTGGAAGCCATAAAGGATTCACCGTCTACTAAACAGTTTAAAGCTGATGTCTTGAAGGAGGTGCAAGTCAAACTTAAATCTGGCACCTTCCCTCAGATCGATACATCAAAGGTATTCGTCAGGCACAAAGTAGAAAAGCCGCATAGGAAACACAGAGTGACCAAACCGAAACACAAGAAAGCCGAAGCCAAACATGCAATCGCGCACAAGAAAGGGCAAGGGAAATATGCAACCGTGCACAAGGAAGACGAAGCCAAACATGGAATGGTGCACAAGAAAGGCGAACCCAAACATGGAATCGTGCACAAGAAAGACAAACCCAAACATGGAATCGTGCACAAGAAAGCCGAAGCCAAACATGCAATCGCGCACAAGAAAGGGCAAGGGAAATATGCAACCGTGCACAAGGAAGACGAAGCCAAACATGGAATCGTGCACAAGCATCGCAAGCTACATGATAAAAAGAAGAAGGGAAGGAAAGCTGCAAAGAAAGCGAAATTGCATCGTAGAAAGAAGAAACATCATTTAAGAAAATAGGGGATGAACTGGAGGAAGTGGTGATCGACGTCGAAACGGCTCTTAACAACCGACCATTGAGTTATGTCGAGGATGACGTAGAACTGCCTGTATTAACACCATATTCAACGATGTTCCTGAACAACAACAACGTCCCAGAACTGGACCCCCCACCACATCGAAGATGGAGATCTCCGAAGAAGAGCTAGGTTTCTCAAACAGTGTAAAGAAGCGATGTGGAAGCGATGGAGTAGGGAGTATATACGAGGACTGCGAGAACAACATCGTCGAACAGACAACACACCCACAAGTCGGGGAGGCAGTGATCATAAAGGACGAGCAGAAGAACAGAAACCATTGGAGATTGGCGATAGTGACGTACCTTATTGTTGGAAGAGACGACGTCGTAAGGGAGCAAAGCTGAAGACCGCGAAAGGAAGTCTCGAAAGAGCGATGCAACAGTTATTCCCGCTCGAATTGTCATGTGATACAACAACGCCACTAAATCCAACCGCGGAGACATTCGAACCAAGAGCAAAGAGAGGAGCGGCAGCAGCAGCTCGTCTACGTATCCAACAAGTGGCGGCGAACGAGCAGGAAAACAACTGAATTCAAGGAAGGAACAATTATTAACTTTATCGATTTGAACGATCCATAGATAAAAGTGTCATGTAGCAGGCATGTATATCTCTCCCGGACTCTTCCACAGTCCCTCATTTGTACGCGCGGTCGCGTAATTTGAGCAGCGCTGATTTGAGGGACTGTGAAATCGTGACTCAAAAACTTGCAAAAACACTCGAAAACTTGCAAATGTGCTCGAAAACCTAAAAATTCGTCGAATATGGAAGAAATCGTGGATGTTTTGGACGATAGCGGTGCTTTGCTGTACATGGGAAGTGTTTTGTCTGAATCGTGCGAGGAATTAAAGATATGAATGGAATATTTATCTCTTGAAGACGATGATGGTGAGTGTTGACATTTCATAGCAATATGCCTTTGACCCTTCGACTGTAAAAATATATTATATAGGCGAGATTTTGATTAGGTTTTCGTGTTTTATACTGTTTCATAAAAGTGATTGTACCTTTACAAGTTACAACTTCGTAAAAGCTGGGTAAATGCTCTATA